GGCCTAATCGAAAAATCTTCATCGTCTTCAAGTGCTATGCTGAAAGAACTCTCTTGATCTAGTGCCAATGATCGAGATGACGTTGAAGAGGGTTTTGAATGCTCTTTAAGACTGGATCTGATGATGGAAAGCATTTTCATGCGTTCCACTGTCATGCGGTTACGAATCTTTGTCTTGGACAACGTCAGCTGCGAAAATAATCTCTCCACTGCAGCATTATGAGGAGTGATAGAAAAAAGTTTCATTGCAAACACACGCAAAGTTTTTGCACCTACAACAGACTGCCAAAAATCTATTGCAAAATCCCTGTTTGAAATGTTGGTGAAGACTCCACTCCGGTTGATGTAGTCATTTAGCTCTCCTAACAATGAGATAGTATCCATCTTAGTAAACTTCCATCCTTTCGCAAGATGTCCAATATCTTTTCTGATGTCATTGTAGTTTTTCTTCCTGGATATGGCAAGAGTTTGATACTTAGGATTCAAAAACAGAGCTACAAAATAAATTGGATGGTCAAACTCAGAAGCTCTCTTTCTGATAGTCTTGATGATGTGGGTTTTGAAGCTGCTGCAATTCGAGGTAACGTCCACGTCCTTCACAGTTGTGTACAAGTTGATCAGCTCGGCAAAGACTTGATCTAGTGTTGTGGAACTTTGCTCAAGACGAGCAATACTGTCGGCGATCGGTTTGATGAGCTTACAGATCTCCTTGTTGATTGCAAAGTGATAATCGTCATCCACCAGGTTGGAGATATCCTTGTTGATCGGCGGCTCGTTGGCTAGTCTTGACTTGTCCACGCAGTGTTGAAAACCTTTGTGATATGATGCAACTCCAACACAAACAAGCACTGCTGAATACCATCGTGTTTCACAAAAACTTGATAAAAACTTCAAAACATTGTTTTCTCGACCCCATGTCTTGAGCTGTGTCGTCCAATAATGAGAACTTGTAAAAAAGTTGATCAGCTTGCAATTCTTCTTGAAGACCTGCTTCATAGTGCACTGAGCTGACACATCTTTCGTAATCAAATTAAGTTGATGAAGGCAGCAACGCAAAGGAACCATATTTGGGTGCAAATTGACCAAATTGCTCCTCAATCTGATCATGGTAGTTGGACTGTCGGATACAAAGGCAACAATTGAGGTCAACCTAAGAAGAGTTTTGTTAGTTGACAGTAACAATTGCTGCAGCAATGCATTTGCTGTCGGCCTACCTGTAAAGTGTACTATGTCCAATATCCATTGTTTGGTGCTAGTAATGGCAATCACTGCATAGATCGAGTTGTTAGAAACATCTTCCCATCCATCCATTGTTAGCGTCACATCGTTGACGTCCTTGAGTTGATCTCCAAGCTCAAGTAAACATTCACTATATCTTTTCTGTAATAGTCTATCAGATACTACTCTTCTTGAAGGAATAACGTAACTAGGATTGAGACCACGAATGAACAGGTCAAGTTCCTTGTTGGAACACACATTGAAGGCACTGTTGGAGGATACCAAGAAGTCTAAAAATCTCATATGATGAGTCTCCTGTACTTCTGCCTTCATTGGCGGACTGAAGAACTTTGACAGACGTTGCTGCTGGTGCTGCGGCAAAAAAACTGGTTGTGACTCCAACCCTGATGAGTGCATTGACATTCGGTGCCTCTTTGAAGATCTTTCTACGATACGCATATACTCAACTCTACTTTCAGAAGTCAAAGTACATCGATGCAAGACATGATGTTCTAACTTGTCAGGCTTGCCATCAAGCACCTCACTACAATGTTCACACATTGCACGATAGCGATTTCCACTCCCCTTCTCAACTGAACGATAAAAATAATGCCATCTTGGATTTATCACCTCATCTGCTCTTTTCCATCCCGGCGGTATCTGTGTTTCATGTCTAGGCTGTGATGATGAAACTGTTGCTGTTGCACTTTCAGCTTCCACTTCAAGTGACAATGAATCCACAATCAACGATGGAGTACAAGAGTTCATTTTGGAACTCTTGTACGCTGCTCCTTTCTACTGTACCTGACAGAAAACAAAGAAGAATACTTGATAATTTTGTAAAGACTTGTGATTGACTAATATCTATGATACAGATTTCTTAAACAACGTTGACACTCCTGATTATTTCTACCAACAAATGATCCATTCCTATTTTCACAAACGTAGGTGAAGTAATATTACTGTTGAGATGAGTGTAAGCTCCAGCTGCTTCCAACTCGAAGACCACTCTTGTTTTGTTTGAAGCAGATGGTACAGAATGTCAGGACACTGCTCCTGCCCAGGAGCAGTGTGCTTGTAACAGCGGATGCCCTGAAGAGTTACATAATGTCATCAACATAATACAGAATTATACAAAATACAGAATTCATGTTATACGGAATTCATCATCATACAGCTCACGAGTGAATAAAACATACGTAAAACATAAAACGTAAAACATAAAACTTACTTGCTGGCTTCTCAAGGTCCTTGAGAAGCCAGCAAGTAAGCAAGATATAACCAGGCAGCAATCAGTTGGTGATTTGCCATGTTCTTATCTACTCCCATGTGGAGATGTGATTTGGGACTGCTTGTTATAATCATACGCCCAAATATCTTGGTCCGGTAGACAACAGGTCAAGGCAATAATGAAAACATCACTTCTACAGCAAAGTATACTTCAACTTGCATTAGTCCCTAGAGTACATGAGGGCAGATCCCTATTTCCCAAGCTCAGTTTTCGTAAACGATTCACAGTTTAATCTGAGTCATGTACGAACACAAGAAAGACTGGCCTTAACCGACAATGCATGCTCTCCCAGCTCCTCGAAGCTTTCTTGAGAAAGGATTAAGCTCTGGGGTCAATGGGGATCTCATGCAAGGGTTCAGAATATCAGCAGAGCATCGCACAAACATTTCATGATTACAGTTCACTGCGACTAAAGACAAAAAGTAGTGAGAAGGACCTCGCCGAGACGCCAAGAAGGAACTTTGCGCAAAATCTACCAAACGAGATAGAGAATTCGTCCAAGTATACAAGGCACTATAAAGTCAAGAAACGAGGGAAAATCTTCTTCCGAAGTTTTTACTGTGAGAAACAACTCCGACCGATTTAAGAAAGGGATGAGCACCATTGTGACTGCCAATGCTTTGCTCGTAAGGTACAACGAACGCTAGGATCGAGGCTAGGAATCATCCTCTTCCCATATGCTTTCAGTTTGGAAGGACAAAGTTCTGAGACTACGTACGTGAAGAAGAGTAGCACAATAGTAGAGAAAGTACTTATTACTCAGTACATACAACAGGCACGAACGTGACCTGCAGGAGACTCGACGTACGATAACGGTACTGTACAGTCCCATCACAAGACCTTTCTCTTAGAGGTTGCTAGTATGGAGATCAGTCACAGTCATTGCTCACCATGCCAAGAACAAGCCGCTACCATAAGTCAATAATCATTCTCTTCCCAAATTCTCTCAGCTGTCTCACAAGTACGAGATCTCGAGATCGAGGTCATTTGAGGCATAACGGAATAATCTTATCAGGAGTAGTATGAAGTAGTTAGTCCTCCCAAAGAATCATGTTGATGTCACATTCAGTGAGTAGGATGGTGTTGAGGAAAAGGAAAGATACAACAAGATGACTCTGGATGAATCAGAGAAATATTTTGAAGAGAAGCGTAAAGCCATTGCTGCAAGCAAAGTTGAAGAAAGAAATAACATTTGCAAGCACCGGATCTTTAGCCAGGTTCTAGTGGAGATCACAGTGCCTGAACTGAAGAAGCTCTTGCAGAAAGGAAAAATAAAAAACGTCGGGGAGACATCCAGCATTCTGCGCATCCCATCACAGCCGTCAAGCTGGAATACTGGCTCTGTTATAGGCATGTTAAGAACCAAATCATTTGGTGCAAGCCAATGAGAGTTGTAAAGTATTGACTGCGACCATGAAGCAATGCACAATACAAATACTAGTTCCAAGTAAGTGTACTGCTCAAGAAGGCACAGAGAAGGAACAAGAAGGCACAGAGAGTGAGCGAAATGGCATGAAACTGGAGATCAGTTGATCCAGAAGTAAATTTACTTCCGGATGAGTGACAGTTATGACCCAATTCTGCACTTTCAACAACAAACATTAAGTATACCCATCGTACGTCCTTGACTCGTGATGAAATAGACAACACGCAGGAATTCAGTCAAGATTGATCCTGACCTAAGAAGCAAAATCACTGGACGCCTTTCTCCGTGGACGTCGTAAAGGATGGCTACCTTTCACCCGGGGCAGTCAGTTTCTTTCTTCTCTCGGGCTGTTCATTATCGTGGTTCGACGTACTGGGCATAGCTTGATCGCTGGAATCTGGGGCAAAGTCTTTTGATCCCCTCTAGTTGGTTCTCGAGTTGAATTTGCCGTGCCCACCTGAGTTCAGATCTTCGAACGTTCCAGCTCGCGAGACCCTCCTTTTTCCCTCTTTTTCAATTGTAGAAAGCCACACGACGTATTTTGAGAGACTACAGTGCCTGTTTCAAAACCACTTCGGAGCAATCAAATGGATTTCTGCGAAAACTTTGTCAAAGTAGTTGGAACGCGAACGTAACCAACCAAACCTTTGATCAGTTCATTTACTCCACTAAGTGTAAAACGGGAATATGCGTATATTCTGATGTTATATTTATGATATATACGTATGTATATACGTATATATCATATATATGTACATACGTACATACAGGCATGCCCCATATAAAAAATGTAAATGAGGCATGCCCCTGGGCATGCCCCCGTGCCCTCGCCCGGGGGCATGCCTTTTTGGTTGTGCCTCCAACCCTATCCTCATGACTTGAGTCGGTGCTCGTGTTTCCGATGTTCTTGGTGCAAGTCTATCACGTGAGAGTCGCGCGCGAATGACAGAATTCAAATAGAAGGCGCACTTTTGTCTGGAGTTCAAACTGCGTGACTGGGCATGCCATGTCATCGATCCGAGCCAATGCTCAACTGGAGTGTCGAACTCCGGTCTCAGCGGATCGACTGTATTGTACGTCTGAGATTGCCCCGGGCTGGCTGAAGCAGATCCAGCGGTCGAGCCACTGGCACATACTCCCTCGACACGTCGACGACCGAAGAGGACACACTCAGTGGACACACTAAGACAGTCGAGCATGAGAAACGTATAGATTGAATCCAACAATCTTGACTCCCTCACAAACAGCATTCGAGACCCCCGGCAGACACATCTCGAGCATTTGGTGGCAATCCGCTTCCTTTCTTGAATCTGTCGAGAATTTCCAGTTCGCAGCCATGTCTGGACGCGGAAAGGGAGGCAAAGGTTTGGGCAAGGGAGGCGCCAAGCGGCACAGGAAGGTCTTCAGAGATAACATCCAGGGTATCACCAAGCCCGCCATCAGGCGTCTGGCCCGAAGAGGAGGTGTCAAGCGTATCAGCGGACTGATTTACGAGGAAACTCGCGGAGTTCTGAAGATCTTTCTGGAGAATGTGATCCGGGATGCCGTGACTTACACCGAGCACGCGAGGAGGAAGACTGTCACTGCGATGGACGTGGTGTACGCGTTGAAGAGGCAGGGACGAACTCTGTACGGGTTCGGAGGATAGAACGCTTATCCTCTTAGCGACTCAGAGCTTGACAGTCGATGCGTTTTTGTATAGCGGATGAATTCTCCCTTTGACTTGGATCGATGCGATCCAGTCGACGACGTCGGCCGATGGGGGGACGATTGATATTTCAACTCAGACTTCTAGGCAATGTCAGCTTACAGATTCAACCGCTCTCATTGAATTGTATAGATCACGCTGCTCTTACAGCTGACAGGTGCCCTGGATAAATATCGGTGGCCAAGTATGCCACAACGTTTTCGTCATTTCTGAAATGTCTCGGGTTGACATCCCACTGTAAAGGTTACCTTGAATTCAAATTTTCTCTCCAGTAGCCAAGTGAACAGACTGTTGTGGCCTGAAGTCTTTGTTCGTTCTTCTGTGATGTATGAGTGTCAAATCTTTTATACCTATTACGCTACTGCTGAACGGTGTATATTTCTGCGGGAGCTTGCCTTTCAAATTTTTTTTTGTAAGCTACTGCTGAACATTCATGTGATGAGTAATTATAAAATTACGCGGTTGTTGTTCTACTTAATTCACTGTCGGTATTTTATAATTATCAAATACTCATCAACCAGGTTTTCAAGCAGAAGTAAAGCGAATATTAGTCTAATGTTTTTAAGAAGTGTAGCACGTTGAAATAGGCGAAGTTTTCCAAAATCCATCTCTGTTTGGCACTGTAACTTTTTGTTGTCACATTTCGCCCAACTCCTAAACCCAGTAGCCTTGTTTCATTCTTGCTTTCTCTACAAACAGTTGGCGACTATCAACTGCAAAGCACGTAACCAGTTCATTGAAAAATAAAAATGAGTCTAAAATTGTGCATCAATATAACTCATTTACAGTTTTGCTCCTCCATCAATCTAATCTTCATAGTCTAATTCCAGTATTTTCTTGTCAGACAATGTGAAATATCTCAAACTTCGAAGAAAATAGCTGGAAAGTAAGTATTTTTTTCCAACACAAATTGAAACTATAATCACGATATAACATTACGTTTTTGTGTGGTTACTTTTAATGCATCCAGACGTTACGAACGTTGTTTACTTTCGAAGTTTGACATTTATATTCTTTTTTTTCTCGAATTGCTTCATTTAAGTGAAAATTTTAAGCATAATTCATGTCAAATTTGTGATGTGATCAAATCTATTACAAGTAAATATTCTTAAAATTATACACCTCGTTATTAAAATAGTAATCGTAAAGATATATATACGAAATAAGATAAAAATGGAAAAATATAAATTTTATACAGTAAATCAGATTATGCATTTTAGAGAAAATGAACATATTTCGAGGGAGCAGATGGAAGAAGTCATGCTTGTCATACACAATCGTACTGGTTAAGATTATTACATACCCTGCGAGAGAACTCAAATATATCTCTGTCTAGGTGATCAAAATGTTATTCAACAAATATGATTGCCTTTTATTCCATGATGACGCAATTTTTACTCGTGTATGAAATAGCGTCAATAAAAGTGAACGTAGGTACTAATTTTGCTGCACTCTGCGTTCGGCCCCTTCGAATGACCAGTGCTCAACAATCTCCCACGCGCTCAAACATTCGAAATGCACGCTTACAGACAACACTAGACCGTCAGACTCAGACTCTGACAATGCACGCCATGTCATCGATCCAACCGAGGTCCGGAGGACCATGCTCCAGTTGGAGGAGGTTGTCGAGTTGGACGGTTAGGATCTGTTCATCTCGTGCCATCTATCCTCACGCGCATGACAAGGAACTCGAGTCCGAGAAGAAGCCCATCGGTGGCTACGATCCCGGGCACCGAACACTCTGCTAAAGAGGGAAGCCGCGGCCTCCGCAGCTGCCACATTTCTAATTCCAACGTCTGCGTATGTTGAGTCCGCGGGAAGCGTCTGCCGAGTCGCCATTCGAATTTTGGGCCGAAGCGCTCGAGAGCCTCGAGGCTCGTAGAGATGTCGGGGCGCGGAAAGGGAGGCAAAGGTTTGGGCAAGGGAGGCGCCAAGCGGCACAGGAAGGTGTTCAGAGATAACATTCAGGGGATCACGAAGCCCGCCATCAGGCGTCTAGCCCGAAGAGGAGGCGTCAAGCGCATCAGCGGACTGATTTACGAGGAGACTCGCGGAGTGCTGAAGATCTTTCTGGAGAATGTGATCCGGGATGCCGTGACTTACACCGAGCACGCGAGGAGGAAGACTGTCACTGCGATGGACGTGGTTTACGCGTTGAAGAGACAGGGACGAACTCTGTACGGGTTCGGAGGATAGAGTGTGCTCTGCCGCCGCCGTGCTTTGTTTTCATGGTATCTACCTGTGGCTTGTGCGTGAGCTTCGACGCCCTGGATTTTGGAGTGTCCTCCCTGTTTCGTGGCGGACTCGGGTCTAACTAAGCGGAGGCCAAGGTACATCCGTGCATGTTCTATGCCATGTGCGAGTAGTCTCATTCGACAATTTGTCGATCTGTATAGCTCAAGCTGATCATGCGAAATCAGCAGATGTCTCAAATGTAGCTCTTACTGTAGCTGAATATTTGTTCTGTTGAGAACGTTTCTGTGGATTGAATTCCACTCTGTACAATACACATTGAACTAAACTGTCAATGGGCTGTTCAAGAGCGAGTACAAACTCCGCTAAGCCCTTTTTTCTACTTGTCGCGCGTCATCGAGTATGTATAGAATTTCCATGATACTGGAGGGTGAATAATGAGAATTGACAAATGACAATTAATTAGAGACTTGCGAGCATGATGGATTGAGTCTGAGTAGCCCAAGTCGCTGAGTTGCATGGGTCGCATATTTTAGCTGAGTCACTGTGAAGGGGACAGTCATTGTCTTTGCAAGAGCTGCAGGGATCTTGACTGAATTTCGTGGGTAAAATCAACAGTCTCTCGTATACTTGTCGGAGCCGTCTGTAAAAGCTTAATACTTGCGCGCGGGGAATTGGCAATCGAGGAGTGTAATTGTAGTATCGGACATCATGTATGTTTCCTACAAGCAGGCGCAGTATGCAAACCTCCTTACTGCATGTCTCATCTGAAATTTGTAAACAAATGAAATCGGCAGTGCACTATCTCTGCTCTATCTTTTCTGATTCACTTATCTGTGGGGCTTGTTTATTATTCAAATGTATCAGGTAATGTATATTGTAGAGGGAGTCCCTCACCAATGAAAGCTGTTTGCATAGACAAATAAATCCTTGTGACAGAATACTTTACGATCTTACGACGTTTATCTTACAACGTGGTGATTTTTTTCTCTCGTACAACATCTAGCGTTCATTCGTGGGATTTTGTTTGGTTTTTGTTGGGTGCGTTCATTGCTGATCGTAAAACTCAGGGCTTTCTTTGGAATGTCTTCTTTTACGAACGTGAATCGAAAACATCAATTCATATTAGTGAAGGAGGAGAAAATATACCTCTGCCTATAATTACAAGTACTGCAAGCGGTTTATACCACACGGACCGAGAACAGTCCGTAGAACGGGAACAATACACGTTCACGATCAGAGAACGCTTAGAGAACTGAGTTTTGCATGAAAGAGGCGACGTTTATTGATCAGATAGAAAGAACGTCACAGTGACGTCTTTCGCATTAGGTGGAAGGAAATGAGTAGGTAAATACAAGTTGAGTACAATTAGTACGCCTCTCACTACCTCTGAATGGAATTACAACAGAGGTAAGAAGGGCCGTGCGACGAACTGCTATTGTTAATTCGGCGTACCACAAAATTTCCACCTCAAAACATCATAGAAGACAACTACTTGTCATTTAAATTCGATGTATACTCGAACTAGTGATGTTCATCCACTGACAATCTATGCCTTGGTCTTACTTCGATGTTCTCTTTGATCTCATGGATTCCAATCCCAAGAAACCTGTTAGAGACACCACTGAGAAGGCAGAAAATATGGCAGCAGCAATGTCAATGTTTCCGGTCCTCCCTGAAATGGGCAGAACGGTGATCAAGTTGGCGGTCTTCGCTTTGTCCGTAGTCTGTCCGAAGGCCAGTTGATTGCCTTCAGCATCCACAGCATATGCACGAACAAAGTAAACTGCACCAGGAACGTCCTTGGTGACTCTCCAAGTAGTGCTGTTGCCAGAAAAGATGTACTTCTGCTGGGCGATGCCCTTGGTACAAGTCTTGTCCTTGTGCAGATCATCATTGGTCTTCCTCCAGCCTCGATCGATTTGGCTCACTGGAGCATAGCACAATCTGAGCTTCACATTCACGTACTTATCACCCACTGAAACCGGGAAGGACTCGTTCAGATGCCAGCTGATGACCAAATGGCTAACACCAGCAAGAGCGATCCCGGAGGAGATCTCCTGCTCCTTGATCTTGGCCTCCACCACCAGAGTTCTCTCCAGGGTGGAGAAGAGCACGCTGGCCTGGGCCATGCTCACAGAGGCGAGCATCAGTGTCATTACAAAGGCGACTGAGAACTTCATCGGAACGGGATGTGTACACACTGAGTCCACTCTTGCAATCTGCAAGACGAGCACGAGCCCGAGGTAGAATGGACAGTGATAGCGAGATCGAGTGTGTGTGTGAGTTTGTGATGGATTCGGTGTGCTTTTGTAGTAGAGAACTGGAGCATCAGAAACGCAGAGATCTTCAAGCCACCTGTTCAATACGGGCAGTATTGTACACGATGCATGGATCTGACCAGTCGTGAACACATAACCGTACCCTTCGCTGGTACGACACGAGGGAACAGTAGCAGTCAAAACACCCCGCGACGCCGCGACATTCTTGAAGAAGCTCAATGTTATGCTCGGACACCTTGTTACCATCCCCAAGCCACGACACATGCCATGCCAAACCTTCTGCTTTTTCCAGTCAGTGTTCAAGCCAAATACTTTACTAAACCTCTAAGTCCATACATTTTTTCACCTCATCAGGAGTTAACAATAATTAAGCAAAAAGGAAGCAAAGACAACATCTAGTCTTACATGGAAGAACCCAAACTCTAGGGCTAGATCCCTACAGTGGGCTTACATCCTTGTTACACGACTACAGAAAGTCCACAAGTGTAATGTTTTAGTTATTCATAATTTATATGTATGTTAAGTAAGATTGTATGAATTTTCACGTTTGGATGAGTATGTTGATGAAATTATTGAAAGATTGATTATATATCTAATCATATGTAAAATGGATTCATGATATAGAGGAGTCAAGATATCCAAATGTATAAAAGAAAATATCATACCAATAATGTAGAAATAATTAAAATTTATTATTAAGGTACTAATTCTTATTTCTAATCATTTGTGAATGGGATAATTCATTTTAAGTAGCAAATGACATACATTTCTTGATGATATTTTTATACTAACTGATTCTTGTGGCACAATTTGAATAATAATAATAATAGTCAGTTTTAGAGTATTTTTGTGAATTTTTATATATTGAATTCAATATTTCATAATACTTTTCAAAATTTGATATACGATTTACTCTTAAAGATTCTTATCGAATAGAGTATTGTGAATAATGTATTGTGAATATAAAAATTTGGTTCATATTTTTTCTAGTTTCATCTATTTGTCTAATTGTACACATTGTCACAAACTTAATGCAGTAATCACGAATTTCTGTATATTGTATATACAAAATATATAAAATTTCTTATACATTAATTATTCTAAACATCAAGCCTGAATGATTCTTTTATTTTAATTTTTAAGTCATTTTCAATCATAGGGGTATATCTATAGGAATGAAGTCTAAATATATGATAATCTTAAGGTTGTCTTCGAATTTCAAATGTGAATAGAAACTGATTTATAACTATTTTAAGAATAACGCTTAATTTTTTTTTAAAAGAAAAAGAATGCTATGAAGCGATCCTAGAGCACAAAATTATTATCAAATATGAATCTGTCATAAAAGTATAAATCCACAATAAAAGTAACAATAAATTATTATTTTTACATACAGACATTCAAACTCAAGCAAAATATATGCAAGAACATATGATGACAAGGTTATAAGAATTTTTTTCCTCTGGCTTTTTTTTAAGCAATCACATTAGCATATATTTCTTCAATACTTTTTTAATAATGTTTATCGGTGATCATGAGTAGCATATTTAGCAAACAATATTTTCAATAGATATTGAAAATTTCAAACAGTAAATTGAGTTTTATTTCTGTATCTTATTTTATATATGAAATATTTCAAACATGTTACATTCATCAGAGATTGAAACTTAAAAAATGATATTTTTATTTGATAGCAATAATTTAGAAGTTTGGAAAGAAATAAAATTTACAAGCCTTCACATGATTAAGATTTACTTTATTCATAACTTGTATCATTTACATTTTATAAATTTTGCATCAATTCATGTTTAAAGACTTATCTTTCATTTACTGCCATATGAAAAAATCCATACTATTTTTGATAGATTTTTTATTGAACCAATATTTATGAACAAAATTGATTCATTTACAAAACTTTTTTCATTTTAATGTTTGATGATTGATTTTTTTTTTTATGATTCACAACGCAATCAAAAGATAAATCTAGATCATTGTATGAGTTGAAAATTTTGGATTAAATTAGTTAATTTTTTCCATACTAAATAACTAATATAAGTTGTAAAAACGTAGAAATTAAGCTTAGAAGAATCTTATTGAATAGATTTTTATTTCATATTGTTAATCACGCCTTGTATTGTATCACAGAATAACTTTAAACAATAGTTTTATTCACATCAATCTAATTGTCACAGAAAGAATTTGTGAGTATAATAAAATATAGATAGAACGTATATCAACCCAAAATTGCGTTAAATTGGCAGTGATTAGCAATATTTATGATAATTGTATCATCTATTTTAAAAATTTCAGTAAAAATCGTAAAATTAAACCCTCTTTTACGTCTACTTTTTAAACAAAATTCAAGAGATACTTTTCTTTTCTACTGACAAGAATTTTTAGATCTATATATAAACTATACTACAATTTTTGACTGGCAATACACGTAAAAATACTTTTAGATGATTAATATTTGCCACAATTTTGCATAGATAATTTTTTTAAAAGTTTGAATTGTTTCGCTTTTTAACAAGTTGTACATATTTTTGATCATGTAATCTAATGTAGATAAGCTTCATAGTTGGACTAAGCTTAAACTTTGAAACTCTAAGTATGATGTGCAAGAGCTTATCATCCTAGTCAATGTGGATTTCCCTTCCTATTCTTCTACGTAGTGTGTATTAATTGCTCTACAGAAAATGCAGATTGATGCAATCTTTGTGAGAGCATTTGTGATATTTCTTCAGATGCTCCAGTGGTACGTATACTATACTCAAGATATCTATAAATCTTAGATGCAGTGAGACATATTTCCATCTTGATAAACTGGACCTGGCGCCATCGTACCCTTTCGTCCCATCACTTAGATTTGATGATGTGTTCACATCCTTTTGGCTATAATGTTACTGTTTCCAGACTTTTTGCTCCAACCGCTTCTTCTTTCAGCAACAAGTGTTTAGCTCTAGAAATAGAATATTAAGAAACAGGGTGAAAGGGTCCACGATTTGCATCTACTCCTCAATTAAATATCAGGACCGGTCCCGCAAATTGATGCACAGCTACAATTGCTATAGTAGGGGCAGTCAGGTCACTGTTGATAGACCATCATCGCAAACTCCGAGGGACGTATTCTAATGAGTGGCTCTTCAAGTTTATATAACTGCTGGGAGTTCAGTACTCAGCATATTTTCTAGAGCAGTTCAAATTTCCAGTGCAATCTTCTCTTTGACCTGAGATTCTAAACCTGCAATTTCAGCTTCTCAGGTGAAACCTTGTGTTCAGAAGACTACACTGTCACGATTAACGAGTCACCGTCCTTCATAGGAGAATGCAATCTTCTTGCACTTTATGGGAGCCCTGAAAAACATGAAAGGTGATGCAAGTTGCTTCCGAGATCACTGGGTTGTTGTACACTATAGGTTTTCATTCAAAGAGTAGTGACTTCAGACTCTCTTTACCTCCTAAGATGGTACCCGCAATGTAAGGAGTACATCGAAAAGGAAGCCACCCTGCTATTGAGACAACATTGATGGAATCAGGAGGTTATTTAATATTATTTTGAACAAATGCATAGGTCATTTGGTGCTTGGGTGGTAAAGAGAAGGGTCACATACTTCCTCCCAAGAAGAGAATGACGCGATTACTGAGCGCCGCCCGGGGGGCTCGAACCCCCGACCACAAGGTTAAGAGCCTTGCGCTCTACCAACTGAGCTAGGGCGGCCATGAACCTTGTTTTTCAATAAATATATAATATTCATGTTTTAGAAATGATGTCAAGATTTAGGACCTGGTTGTGTGACAAAAAAAAGAGTTGCACTGCATTCTGTGAAAGTTGAAAGGTTTTTTCCATCCTTTTCTTGTCATCTTTGAATTTTTTAAGTATCGTACAACGATTATAACTGTTCCTAAGTATTCCATCTCCTGCTTGCCAGGCTTGGAAACAACCATTCCAGAGTCAAATCAGGAGATGCCCCAGGCATGTCCAGACCCAGGGTTTCAACTTAATGTCACGCCACGGACAGACCCTTGTTATAGATCAAAGAGCTATAATCATGTGGTTCTATTTTTCATGTTTGATAATTCATACATACTAACTGTTGTGGTATATATATCATATTAAAATGCAGTTCAAGGTAGCCAATAGTAATATGTATAGTCGCTGTTATTCGATGGTTTTGTACCTTGTTAGACTTGATGGGTCTTCCTATCATTTTTCTAATACATAGTATATTCAACTCTTCATGTAACTGTGAGTGATGGCTTCATAGATATGGACCAAAACACCTCGGAGATCATCTGGCTTGAAGCTCACTGGTTCTAGTCAGAACCAGTCTACTTATTCTAGCGTGGCCGAGGAGAGATAAGCCTCATGGCTAGTCATGTGTTCATATATGGTAGCAACTGATGCAAGCAATTAATTTGTTCGTTATAGCATATCCTTTTGCATGTTCTCAATTCACCTGCAAGAGTTCTCAATGTGTTGCTTTGGCGTTCAGCTGCAACATACGCCGGCCCAACTCACCAACATTTCTTCTAGGCATTCTTCAACTACGACAAGGAACAACCATTCAACTGTTGGTAAGCTCACATTATTCCTAGTATACAACTCGAAGCGATGACGCTTCTGATCTGTCTGCTGAAGATGACTCAACAACTGACTGTCATATCCCATCATCTGACTGATTGTGGCACCAGGATTAGTGGTTGTTAGAGACTAAGTATCTCGAGCTTGATGACATGGTTAAGGATCCAAATGTTTGAGAATCTATGGTGAGCTTGATCCATAATGACTCCTGGTGTGATGCCTAACAACTTGTCATTTTATTTCTGCTTATGGCAAACTTTACTTTCTTGTTTCTTGTTAGCTCGGTGAGATTACGGACATGTCCAATAGCAGGCACCTGAAAGCACAAACAGATTTCAGAGCTATCTCCGTGCTCTCATACTGGTCTTAACAATCGTCGATCATCCATCTATCAGCCTGACGTTCTTTAGAAGCTCGACTGACATTATTACGCGTCATTTCGTCATAGATTCTCAAACTTTTGGATCCTTAATCATGGCATCAAGCTCGAGATACTCAGGCTCTCTATTAAGAATACACTAGACAAATTAAGTGAAGCCGGTGTAGATCGTTGGTAAAGTTTTACATCTTTAAATATAGCTCTAAGACTTTTGAAAAGACAACAAGAACTGGAAGAGAATAGTTTTTCATGCTTTCGTAGCTGAAATTACCCTTTTGATCATATACCCTTTGTGCAAGCGCATCACTCATTTCCTTGATCTCTTCATTGGTTTTCTCGCTCAACTTCTCTGCTTCCTCCAGGAAACGTGCTCGAGTCACCGGATCGTTCAGCCATTCATGACTTCTCTCAGATCTAAGGACATCCAAAAATGAATAACGAGCGGGTCGTTCTGGATGAGGAGAACATCTTCTTTTTACAGTCGGGAGTTCTAAAAGTTCATCTATAATCGACATGTGATCGGGACCAACTTGGACCTCCACGCTAGAGGGCTTACTATAACTAGCTTTCTCTTTACCAGGCACTTTCACCTCCTCTCCGATGGAGCGAAGCGATCCTTCCAACATCGCAATATATTTTTCATCATCCTTTGTAGAGCGAATTTCATTGGTAAAAGGTTTTGCTGGCAATTCCACACCCTGCGTCGTATCTCTCATCGACTTCTTGAACGGTGATGCTTCTGTCTCGAATACGTCTACTTCCATGGACGAGCTCGATTCTGGTGGAAACTCGACAATTGGTATAGAGTTGGAGATGATCCTTACAGGCACCACCTCCTTCTTTCGAACTACGTCGAAGTCCAACTTGACCTTTGGCGTGAAGTGCTGATGAAGAGTCTTCGGAGAGGTAGGTTCTTTTTCCGAGTCAGGAGCTCCCTAAGGAATAAAAATCACTGTTTCATAACTGTAAATGAATGCTAGAACTTGAAAACAATGTTCATTTGATGTGTTTATGACTTGACTTCAAGTAAGAGTCTATTGTTGATGTTAGTCAAGGAAAGTGAAGTTCAAGCTAAGATACCTCTGGTGTAATTCTAATCTGTTCCCGGCCCCTTTTCGGCTGGCTTCTCCGATCACTTTTCACAATTTCAGACTTTTTGGTTCGTGTCGAATTCACTCTTCTTCTTTTTCCACTCCCTGCGGCTTCAGTTGCGGGAGTCTCCTGGTTACATCCAAGCTGGTCGCTTGTTTTAACTGCTTTTGACTGTCCCTTCTTTCTTCCAGCACGTTTCTTTGGTTCGTCAAGCTGAACTGATTTCCTTGCCCCTCTTTTCTTGGTTATTTTGGTAACAGAAGGTATCAGTTTTGTTTGGTGGGACTCGATTTTCGGACTTGAATCCATAACTTCCGTCATCAAATTGGCTGGCATATAATCTTCCTGCTCATGTGGTGCGGTCAAATCTTCGAGATATTCTTGCTCAGGGTGTCCTTGCTTCTTCTGGGATATAGAAGTCACACATACGCCATGCCACAACAAAAAATTGAGCTGAAGAGGATCGAGAAAGATGAAAGGAAAATGTGTGAAGACTTCATCGTCCAACATGCACTCAAGGAAAGTAGAGTTTTGATACTTACATCTGTTAAAACAAACTCGGCGGTCTGGTCTTGTAAGCCTGTCTTTGCAGAGATTTCCCTGGATTCCATAGACATCGATTGTCTATACAAAGATTCTCCTCCATGCAGATGAGACACACGAACTGAGCCAAATTTCTGCTTCCGACGTAGACAAGGAACATGGTACTCAGGCATGAAGTATATCTTAAAGTTGGAATTCAAGAAGCAGAGTACACACAGTTTTACGATATTGATCATGAAAAAGCTTTAGGCTTCTACTTACCTCAATAACCTCCATGTCGGGGACAGAGGAACCTACGTCGTCTCTCTGCTGTACACCTTCGTCTTCTTTGGAAGAGCGTACTTCCTTAACATCTAGATCTGTTTCTGTGACCGGAATTCGCTGCTGTCTCATGAAAGGTCCCTTCCTCAGAGGCTTCAGCCTCACGCTCGAGGGGAAAGCCTTTACGGAATTCAGGACAGACAATGAGGAATATATGAGAACGATCACTCGTGCCCATGCCCTTCACTAAATTAATCATTTAGACACCAGATTAGTGGAGGATGCTGAACTGGTGATCTTTCAGTTGACGGTATTTGTTTCCGGGGTTCTAGAGTTGAGAGGTAAGGGATTAATCCTTGTGCGAGACGCTTGATCCAAGTTGCACAACCGATCAAACCATACAAACTTGATGACTAAAATATAGGTTTGAATACTCAAAATCTTGCTCTCATCCTGAAATTGATTGAACATGCGCACCTTTTCCATGCAGAAACTGTACTCCTCACTAACAAATTCATCGAGATGATGATCAGAGATTCCCTTTGAAGAACTGAGCATAGCTTTCAAACAGTGCGAGACTCTGCTGAAATAAATCTCGCTGGTTTTCGAAGCAGATTCGAAATCCTGCAGTTTACCCTCGTGGAGTCAAAATCCTGTTTCACTGAGATCTTAGACCACAAAGACTCGTAGCGTCAAAGGACAATGGCGAGGAGTTCTACCTGTACTCAGTACAGGGAAACTCTCATCAGCTTGAGCAACTCTAATTGTTTCCGTAGAAAAAGTTATATCCCGTACTGTGTAAAACGACTCTAGTCCCAGTTGTTTCTCATTACATTTTCTTCTTTTAAAGTCATCGTTTGAATGTTTCTGGAACAGAACAAATAGCCGATTAAAGATTACAAATTACGGAGAGAATAGATAAAGGACCAACAACTCCAGGACTCTGACGTCAGATATGTAGTACGTAGTTGCTGTTCACCATGTTCAAGAATTACCTCTATCCGTCCACTGGAGCTTCCGACCGCCTCTCTTGCTGACAACTTCCGTCGCAAAGCCTCAGATCTGAGACCCTCCCTCTTTCCGGCACCTAAGCCACGTGTCTGGATCATACAGGTGAAAACCTTCAAAGCACTCGAACCTACGGCCTTGCGGCGGTAAAAATGAAGAATATTCGACTGACGTACAGGTAAATATTACTTACCCCATTAACCCTAAACCCTTACTCGAATCCCTAACCCTAAATCCGAACCCCTGCCATCGATAATCGAAATCTAGCGGCCTCGAAAATTAGTCAAGCATTAGACCTTACCAATTCCAGCTTCTCCTGCGTGAATGTGCCTCGCTCCCTTTCTTCTCCCTCTGTTCCAGGGCCTCGCAAAGCTGTCGATGCCAGCACACTCGAGGAAGTCAATTACGCAGATCATAAACTGCAATTATCACTAAGGTTCCAGCATTGTGGGCAGTACAGGCGTGCTTCCTCGGCTGATCTAGTATAAGAGACGAATTTCCACTCGAATACAAAAGGAAAGAACCACCGAAGAAATATTTTGGAACGGATGGGTTCAGAAAGTACTCTGCAAAGTGGGTCTCCAACAGAAATCAGACGGCGAAGGTCCTGAAGAGCCAAGACCCGAGAGATACTCATTCAACTTACATTTGGAGCGAAAACATTCCTCCTGAGGAGAATAGAAGTACATATCTTGGACCTTACGTCCCGCCCTCCATCCCCATCCATCGGGAGCTATGGGAGGACCTGTTCCTGACATTCTAGCTAGAGGATGAGCCTGCATGGCGTCCGAAAAATTCCCCGAATCCTTGAATCAATCCTGTCGCGATAGGCGATCGTCTATTGGCATGAAATCTCGATCGCCGACCGATCTCAGTGAAGCTCACTCACTCTCAGGACTGAACTTGTGAACGTCGAGTGTGAACCACGGGCCCGAGTCCAGTCCTGACGACTGTGTGCCTTCCTCGTCGGAGTCCGATCCTACACGCGACTACGGTGATGAGAATCCACTGACGGAAGGCACTTACAGTCGACTGCGTGGTGAACCGCGCCCATTTGCACGGTGACCGGTATGAGCTGGACTGATGACCTGTATGAGTTGTCCTGTCACAAGGTCGCGTGTACCCAGTCCTTTGCCAAGTGGATTATGTCAGTTCCGTGGCACGACCTTTACTAAGGCCGAACATTCGAACGTAAATACCGAAGGATGGACGGCTTTCGGTCAAATTTGAGCTCACCGATTCCCGACGGATCCAAAACCATTCTCCCTAGGTTTGGCCACGGTCCGGTTAATGGTTAACCCGGAAAATTGTGTACGGTTAACAGGTCCAGGTTTGGCCCATATCGGTTAAACGTTTACCTATATTTTAACCGGTCCCGACGGTTAACTGGTCCGGACCAGATCGTGGCCTAGGGTGCTAACACGCTGTGCGTGCTTTCGAATTGTGTGCAAAGGATCACTTGTGGATTACTAGTTTCTCAAATACAACACCTTATTCTGACGGTAGGCTAAACTCCCGAATTCTTGCGTGCATTCCACGACGAACTCGCGACGGGTGTGACAAAGATGTTCAGCGGAATCCTGTCATACGTCCTTGCACAGGTCCCACCTCGTTTGTCACAACAACAGGTGACATATTTGCACAGTTTGACGATCACCAGCTCACGAGGAAAGTAACATTATTAAACGGATTGAATTCCGCATCAGACTCGAATTGAGCGCTCGATTTCTTCCTATTCCTTCGTCATGAATTCAGGGTTCGTGTGGGGACCGTCAAAACATTTCCGTCTTGCAATGAAGCCGAAATCAGGCTATTTACACTGAGTCACAAATTGGGTACCTATAGATTATGAAGATTCAAGACTCTAACTGGTTAACCATCGATCCGGACCGTGGCCAAGCCTAATTCTCCCCATAGATTTCCACAAGATTCAATTATCTGCATGTGAACCCTTGGTAACCTCAGATCTGTATATTATGGAATGTTTAGAAGTATGGCTAGTATACTTGTCCAATGTATCATTATACTTAGAATATGTTTTCTCAATCTAATTAATTTTTTTTATAAATTGTAAGATATTTGAAATATAATAATCATTAATTAATTATTAGTTGAAAGTATTGAATTACAAAGAATAATTTACAAATTAATTTTTGATATATACTTAAAATGTTTGGAACATGATATCACATACATATTATTTAAAAGACAAGATTTCAAACAAATATCATAAAGTTAAAAATATTAAAAATGATTATATATTTTCTATAATATTTAGAACATTATTTTTCATAAACCATGTTCCAAATACTATAGAAAATAAAAAAATAATTTTTCATTGAAGATAAAATAAAGTTTCAAAGAATTTATATATTTTGAGATATTTAAAAATAATTATTCATACATTAAATATTTGACATAATAAAATTGTAAATGCAAAACACGAGAATTATATCGACATACTTAATCAATTCCAAAATACGAGAAATACAAGAATACACACGTATAACGTGATTCATCCTCAAGGGTTACGTCCACAAAGGAATATACTAGAGAGTTTACTGATGTTAACTAAGGTTAACTCCTTAACCAAATGTAACCTTAACAATTTTCTCTTTAACTCACGTAAACCTATATTATTACTCAACGGAAAATTCTAGACAGAATCTTGACTGAAGCTCATTGTTTAGACGAGAGTTAACTAGAACTAAATCGTAACCATTACATGATAGAGTAATAATATATAGAGGTAACTCAACAGTCTCACCTTAACTCATGTCAAGCGAATTCAATAATCTTGATAACCTATATTATTACTCAATAGAAAGTTTTAGACAGAATCCTCACTTAAGCTTCATCTTTAAACGAGAGTAAACTAGAACTAAGCCATAGCCATTACATGATAGAGTAATAATATATAGAGGTAACTCAACAATCTGACCTTAACTCATGTCAAGGAATTTCAGTCACCTCTTTAATCTATATTATTTTTCCGCTGGAAGTTTTAGACGGAAACCTATCACAATGTACTCTTTAAACGAGAGTTAACTAAAACTAAGCCATAGCCATAAGAGGATAAAGTAACAATATACAGAGTTAACTAAATACCATATCTCTCGTGCTCCCTATGCACAACTTGCATAGTAACACAATGTCGTCTAAAACTTTCCAAAGAAATAACTTTGGTAAACGCATCAGCTGGATTGAGTTTATCGTCAATCTTGACTAGCTCAATTGTTTTATCAGACACTGCTTGTCTAATAAAGTGATACCTGATGTCGATGTGCTTCACTCTGCTATCCATAACTTGGTTCGCAGCATAATGTAAAGCATGCTGGCTATCACAATGAAGATTGACCACCCCTTGTGTTAATAACATCTCCATGATAAGCCTATCCAACCAAATAGCTTCCTTTGTTGCTTTTGCTGCTGCCACGTACTCAGCTCCTGTTGTTGACTGAGCTACACACTTCTGCAAGGTAGATCTCCAACTAATGCTTCCGCCGCCAAGTGTAAACACATATCTAGTTGTAGATCTCCTCTTGTTTAAATCTTGTCCGCCGTTAGCATCAACATAGCAAAACAAGGACTTGGCATTTTCTATAAGCCATCAAACAATAAGCCATAATCCACAGTTTTCTTGAGATATGTCAAAATCCATTTCACTGCTTCCAGTGAACTTTCACTTAATTCGACATGTACCTGCTCACCTTCCCCATTACTAGAGCAATATCAAGCCTAGTGCACACCATTAAATACATGAGTATGCCTACAGTTTGTTCATAGGGAACACATGACATTCTTCCTTTTTTCACAGCATCTGTAAGACATTGTGCTATGGAGAGTTTAAAATGTGCAGGCAGAGGAGTCCATACTCCTTTCGAATCGGCCATGTTGAACCTGTCAAGTATACGACGAACATACTTGCCATGACTCAACCATAGCTTCTTTTGTTCAGAATATCCATAAATATCCAAGCCTAGTATCCTCCTTGACTCCCCCATATCCTTCATCTTAAATGCGGACTTCAGCTGACTCTTGCATTCATTGACATCGGATTGATTTTTTGCCAAGATAAACATGTCGTTAACGTAGAGTATTAAAATGATGAGATTGAAAGTCTCATCATTCACCTTCTTCATATAGACGCAAGGATCATACACACTTCGTAGACAACCTTGTGCCTTCATAAACTCATCAAAACATGTATTTCACTGCCTAGGAGCTTGCTTCAGTCCATACAATGATTTCAGTAATCTACAGATCCACGTCTCTTGGCATTGACATCAAAGCCAATTGGTTGTCTCATGTAGATCTCCTCCTCTAAATATCCATAAAGTAAAGTTGTAATCACATCCATCTGATCCATAACAAGACTGAATGTTGCGGCCAGTGCACATACCATACAAATTGTAGCGTATTTTGCTATAGGCGAAAAAATTTTGTTATAATCCACATCCTTTTCATGTGTGAAACCTCTAGCAAGCAATCTAGCTTTGAAGATTCTTGCCTCATCTCCTGTTGGATTGTCTTTCAGCTTGTACACCCACTTGGAGTCAATCACTATCTGATATTTAGGAAGCTCAATCAACTTCCAAGTCTTGTTGTCAATCAATGATTGTATCTCCCGCTCCATAGCAACATTCCATTCAAGCTTGTTGACCGAAGCTTGAGTTTCTCTGTATGAAGAGGGTTCATCTTCTTTCAAGATCAACGCCATACCATTCTCATCTTCAAAATCAAGGTCACGATCTTTGAGAATGGATGAGTTGGCCCATGCACCAAATCTCTCAAACGCTCTACTAGATCGTTGTGATCTCTTAGTAAACGTTTCCGTTTGATCTCTCTTGTCTGGTATTGTTGTAATAGGCTCATCAACAATAGCCTGATCCTGTAGTTCTTGGTTCTCAAGAATATGCTTCATATGTATCGGTGTTTTTTCATGTGACATATCATTAGTGATAGAATGATCAAACTCCCTCACAACAATATCTGTGAGTAAAGATTTCCCCTTGTTAGCCTCCACATTCTCCCTCTCTTTTAATAAGCCAGGCTCATTGAAAAAAACATCTCTACTAACAATAGCCTTACTGGCAACTGGATCCCATGGCCTGTAAACTTTCACGCCGCTAGCATATCCAAGAAAACGACATTTATTGGATGTAAAATCTAATTTTGTCCTGTGCTACTTTGGTATAAAAGGATAAGCAGTATCTTATTTTCAGTTCAAACGGTGTTGAAAAATTGATTGCACTAGAAAGAGAAAGGTTTACCAAATCAATTGCGGTGTTGACAACTTCGTCTCAAAATTCCTCCGTTAAACCAGATTCGCTCAGCATACTCAGCACCTTCTCCAACACTGTTCGATTGAGTCGCTCAGAAACAACATTTTGTTGTGGAGTATAAACCGTGATAAAATGACAAAGAATCCACTTCTCTCTACAATACCTATGAAATTCCTCACTAGTATACTCGCCACCATTATCTGATCGCAAATATTTCACCTTGTATCTAGTCTGTGTCTCAACTTGTATGCGCCAACTTTTGAAAGTTGAAAACACCTCAGACTTTTGGGTAAGAAAATATGCCCACATATACTTCGAGTAATCATCTAGAAAAGAAACATAATACAACTTTCCAGACAGTGAGGCAACAAGAGAGTGTTCCCACAAGTCACTATGTACATACTCTAGTATCTCCTTGGAACTATGAGTTTCAACGCCAAAAGTTTTTCTATGTTGTTTTTCCATGATGCAATGTTCACAAAATGACACGTCAACTTTACCCAAACCGAGTAATACCTTTTTCTCATCAAGAAGAGACATGTATCGATCACTCATATGGCATAATTTGGAATGCCATACATGAGACATCTCAACGCAAAATCTGATAAAGTGAACTTTGCCACAAATAGTGATGCCCTTTAACAAGTACAGATTATTATGCTTGTATCTCGAAGAATAACCTTCTTATCA